AAAAAAAAAAAAAAGGAAAGAAAGAAAAGCGCACTCTCATTGAGCTTTGCTTGTGTCCCCCCTCATAGTGCCAAGGAGGGAGGGAATGGGAACGCTCTTCCTTGAAACAAAAGGCACATGATGTAGTCTCTCCTCTCAAAGGGGTTCCAGCACATCTCTTCCTAAAGGAGGTTTCCAAGAAATGCACTTAAATCACAAGTCTGAGGGGGGTTTTTTTACCCGCCTCCCTTTCCCCCTCCCCTTTACAGTACTTTCTGAACCAAAATCTGGATTTGGAGAGTCACTCCCCTGCTCCTGCAGTGCCACAGTTGTTCATTATTCATAGTCCGGGGCGTGTCCTAAGCAGGGGTCCTATATAGGCGAGACCTTCAGCCGCATGAGAGAACAGATGGGAGCCAAGAGTTACCGAGAGTAGAAGCAAATAGCAGGCAACAAAGAGAATAAAAAAGAGGGGAACTCTCTTTCTTCATTTATTATTATTTTTTTTTCTTTCTCCCTCTCCTCTTGTTCCCCAACCCTCTCTTCTCCTTTCTCCCCTCAGTCATTTTTTGGATCCACTCTTTTCTTCTTAATATATTTTTTTTTCTTCTTTGCTGGGGACTTCTTCCTTTTGAAATCTTGATATTTTTGTTTTATCTTTTTTTTTTTCATTCTCGTGTGGCAAAAAAAAAAAGCAACCAACCCCCGCGATCTCTATGCTAAATAGTGACAAGCCAAGGGAGTTGGAGGATCCTGAGGGAGGAAGATAAAAGTTGTTGTTTTTTTGCTTGTTGTTTTTAATTTTTTGGTGGCCGGCGGAGCTTCCGAAAGCCTTCATCTTCTGGGGAGGGGGAGCTGCGGCCCTCCCCGCTCGGCTCTCGCGTGCGTGTCCTGCGCCCTCGTGGTGCGTGGCTGTGCCTCTGCCTCGCTCTCCCGGGCTTTCCCCACCCCCTGCGTGCCCGCGGTTGTGCCGCGGCGGGGGGCGCGCGTGTGCGTGCGTGCGTGCGTGTGTGTGTGTGTGCGCGCAGCTCCGCGCCTCGCCTCGCTCCGGCCCCCTGTGCCGGTTGCCATGGTGCCGCGGCTCGACGTGCAGGGGGCAGTGGCGGCGCTGGCGCT